CTATCTGTTGTTTATACTCGTTTGTTTGTATCATTGCTAAATATTATCATTCTAAGTTTGGTTATTTAATTGTACTACCATTTTACTCGTTTGATCACTAATAAATAATACGTGTACCGATTATTGAATACTGTGTTATGTTGTATTCCAGACAAAAACTGCGATTTCGCTATTACACTATTACTTGAGTCCCTGTAATAGCTGTTCTATAACTAATTAAACACTGTAGAAACACAAATAACTAAAATAATCAACAATGCATAATTTTAGTATTTATTTTCACGATAGTCGTTTAAATATAAGTATATTATATTAGCCTTCTGTATAATGAACATAAGATTATTTAGATAATAAATATCTAATACAGGAAAAAAACGGGGTAAAAACTATAAACATTATATATTATAGATGTGTAATAGTTATTTAATATGTTAAATTATTAAGCAAATAAAATACAATGCGAAATGCAGTTCTGGTACGTTTGTTTCAGAATAAATATGTATGACATACGTCATACATATTAGGTGCTTTTGATTTTTAATGTTGTGTTTTTTTTTTGGTATTAGGAACTTGAAGTAAACTACAAGATCATGACAATAGTTTAACTGAAATGTATGATTTAATTTATATTCACGCTAAATAATATATTTGTATATACAGTATATTCAATGCTATACTTTTTATTTGCGATCAACTTAGTTTTCATTGCTAAGTTGAAGTATATATCTTTCTGTTAGTCTAGATTCATTAAGTGCCTATTATTGTTGGATTAGGAATACTTACAAATACGTATAATATATGTAAGGGCTAGTGCTTATATTTTTCAAATTTTTCATGATGTACAGTTAACACAAATGGCAGTTTATTCTTTGTATACACAAAAATATTTATAATTTAATTAAAATGTGAGCTATTAGTATATTTTTATGTGGTCGATTACTTTAATTTAGTATTATTGATTTACGACTATGTTATAGTAAAATTTTAGAAATATGCGATGAAAAATAGAATTCTAACTTTGACAGTTTTATTTTTTTTTTACAATCGTGAAAATTTTACGATTTTTTAGTTTTTAATTGTTAATTAACTATCTGATATTAAGACAAATCAAATTTAATCCAAGCATTGGAAAAATCAAGGTGGTGTAGATACTAAATATATATAGTAAACAACTAAACAAGTTTAATATATTGTGTAGTAATAATACTTAGATCAAATCTTCAAATCTTACACATTCCATCAAGGACTTTTTTTGAATCTGTAAACATTTTTGTTAAATCTATGTATCTTAATCTTTTATGTTAAAATTTAAATACAGATAGAAGGTGCAACGGTTTTTCTAGGGCAGTATTTCCCAATCTATGGGTCGCGAAATATTTTTTATGGGTCGCCGGTGTGACCTATATGATTAAAATATACATGAAAATAATTTTAAAAGAAAATTTATAAACGCCTAAGTTATGTTTTATTTGATACTTTTACGCATAATAAATAATAACAGTGTGAAGTCTCAACAAGTATTGTAGATATCAATATATCTTTAGTAAAGTTAGTATTACATTTATATCTTATCGGTATATGTGCTAATGACTGTCGGTGTGATATCGGTTAATTTTCCATACAGCTGAGTAATAAGTAGTATAAATAGAGACTACGAGAGTAGGTACAAACCAAAAATTTTAGTTTACGATTAGACACTCATTTTTAAATACTCAAATTTTATTTAATGTATATTAAGTTTTAATTTTTCTGATAAATTAATTGTTTGTAAAACCACATCTGGTGGTACCAGTCAACCAGTTCCATCAGACAGTTAAGTAATTTAGTACAATACAACTTTTTTTTTTTTTTTAGTGTTTGTTGGGGTGGGTTGCGTTACCAACAAGCAGTAAATTTATGCGTCGTCATTACAAAAAGGTTGGGAAATACTGTTCTAGGGTTTAAGTACTCGAATTATTTCCGAATACAAAAATTTGTTTCTTAATCTATTTAAGGATTGGTATTTGGTAGATTTAAATGTTTCAATGGAATGTTCTAGACTACTAATTAATACGCAAATACTATTATATTTTGTAATCTATTATTGAATATTTTTAAGTCAAATTGTCATTGTATGACATATTTTGATGTAACTTTACGTAATCGATTTTATTATTCAATATTGTTGTTCATAAACGGTGTTATTGTTTTAATGGAGAAAATATTTATTTTTCACGATCTAATAGAAAAAAAACCCTGTTTAATAAATAATATGTTTCTTTATTGTATATATATATAATAAGATAGGTACCGATTTTCGCTGTCTGTATTATCATTTTAATAATGTATGATAATTTTATAATATGTAATAATTGGGTTCACATGGTTATTGATTGTAGATAAATCAATTAAAAAAAATCACCATCAAAACAAAGTTATGTACAACGAAATAAATTTAATTATTATCGATTATCGTATAAAGACATCATATTATAAACTTACATATAATTATTTTATTTCTGGTTATAAAATTAGTATGACGTTTATTACGATTATTGGATAATCCGTTTACAGCATATTATATTTATTGATTTCACAAAAACGTTCAAAAGAAAATTTCACTTTGCTATAACCTAACCTATAATGGTATGATATAATAATCAACACTTTTATGTGATAATATAAATTGTATACGTGTTAGTTACGCCGCGTTTGTTAGCCGCAGCCTTCTTCGATTTTCCGGAAAATTTCGTATTACATAGGTTCATATATATTATAATATAATAATAGGTAATGTGCATAGGAATCAAGAAAGTGTGACCCGCGACAACGTATCTATAATACAATTTTATATAGCCTTAGCCTATATTCATGGTTAGTGATATTGTAATTAGGTTCGTTAGGTATATAAGTAGTACTATGTACTAAATAATTATATGTTGTAGGCGCATAACGTGTTGTATGTACTCGTATAAATGGCTGCAGGTATTATCATAGTGGCGTTAAGGCACGTTTTAACAATTTTTGTCGTTTGAATTTACCATAAAAACAAACAAAAATATCTAGTAAATCGGTATACAATATTTGTATATATTATAGGTACATACACACAGTGTTATGTTTAGTTGCTAACATTAACTTTCCAAATAATCCAAAAAGGTTTATGTATTTTTGATAACTTAAAAAGATAAAAGTTTTTCTTAACCTTTCTTTAATATCATATTATGTATGCAAAATACTTTTTTAAAGTTTAGCAGAGTCTATAATGGATTTAAATTCTTAAGAAATAGTTCCTATTCTTATAATTTTAAGTTTAAATACCCAAGTTGAATATTTATATTACGTACCTGTATCAAAATGCTTAGGTATATAAGTATTTTGGCTCCTGTTGATGAAAATGAAAATATTTTATAAATTATTTAAATGCAATGTTACGTATATAGATGAATAAACAATTTTTATCTTCTGCTGAAACCACTCATGACTAAAAATTAGCGTAGCTGTTTAAATAGACGCTGTATCTATACATTTTACATTATTTTGTTAAAATTTATTTTTATTGTGATATAATACTATAATATTATAGTTATCGTGTACGGAAATGACAGCAATCACGTAGGGTAATATTTAATTTTTTTAACATAGGTATATGTTTTTTATTAGAGAGTGTCGGTCGAGAGTATACATCGCGTAAAGTATATTGATATGAATATATATATAGTGGCCATGAATATAATAACAGGTGCTAAGTGAAAGTATTGCGTTATTATACATTTATAATATTGTAATATGTATACGACGAGAGTTTCAGCGCGGAACCTCTATCACTATAGTGCAAACAAATTGGTCAGATTTTTTATTCTACCTTTTTATATTACCCCGTTGGTGTACTAGTACTTTCTTCTTGGTTTTTAACAAGGCGCTTACTTGTATTAAAATTTCGGTGAAAACGTTGAAACGTTATATAAAAGATATATTTATATATACATCTATCGCCCGCCTACAAAGCGGCGATCGTTTTATCATGGCGCCCGTCGTGTGCTTCGTACAGATTTTTTGCTTTGTGTAACGGTTCGTATTATTAAAATTGTATTTAACATCACGTATATTCTATGGTAATACACATACCTTTAAGTCCGCTATAACGATATTTGATAAGAAATTCATTGAAGACATGTCTATGCTCAGTAGGTGTATATCGTATTTATTGTTTAGTGTTTACATATAAGATGTACAAACTTTTTTTGGTCTTAGAGAAAGCACTATGTGTAATAAATTTTACGCAAATTAGAAAAGAACATTAATATTGTATTTTAATGACCTTTAGAAATATGTACATTGTACATGACGTATTGTTTTAAATGGAAAAAATAATTCGTTTTCTTTTCTTCTCTCTGCGCATTTTATTATTTCACACTCTTGCATCTTATTATGTTGATTTATATCTTTATTTAAGTGTGTTATATTGACACCACTATCACCATTGCCAAACGAGTATAAAATAAGGGGTTTGATATAAAATAATATAGTAATAAATAATAATAATAATATTAATAATAACAACAACATGACAACGAAGTTAAAAAATACATTTAAATGGACGGATTTGTCGCGTATCATTTATTGTAAGTTTTAACTATTGTACCTATCATTGCTTGTTGTTTTCCGAGACGTAAAATAAAAGATAATTCATTTTCTTTGTTACTCGATTAAATTCAAAAGTGGGATATTAAAATTATGTTTGACTCGTCGACCGTTGTAATAATAATGGTACGTTTTAAAATTAATAATTAAGTTATACGTAGAGAAAATATTACGTAAACTCGTTGCGCACTACGTTATTATTATGCAATGTTGTTGTTTCAAGATAAGTTAGTGCATTATTTTTTTTGTTTAGCACCTACAACTACAATATACCTATTTTATGATAAAATATATAAAAAAAATGAAAACCCTGTACAATTTTAATTGTGCGCATAAACGGAATTGTTTTTATATATTAAGTTACATTTTGTTTTCAGAAAGGAGACCGTTCGCTATTGGCACAATTCTTTTATGCTGATGATGAATTAAACGCCGTTGCAGCGGAACTGGATAGTTTCGATGGTAAAAAAGACCCTCAGCGGTGTACTGCCCTTGTGAACCATTTGCGACAATGTCAGGACAAAGTGAGTAAAACATTCCATCCCCATCCAGCCAATCCATTACCAATACCTTACTTAACATATTTTCCATTTGCATTAAAATTCCAGCTTTATTTTATAGTTATATTGACATCGTGTAAAATAAATTAATAAACAACGTTTTGATTTTTTTTTCATCATTTTTAGGTCTTGACGATTTGTATTAAAATTATGGACGAGCTGATACCCGGTGAACGGGCCAGCCGTGATTTTCGTGTAAAATTTCCAGATGACGTAATTCAGGACAATCTGGCGGGACAGCTGTGGTTTGGTGCTGAGGTAATTATTACATTATGTTACTATTATTATTGTTATTATTATTATTATTATTATGAGTGACGTTCAGTGTATATCTTTGACAAAAGAAAAATCGTCTCCCACAACGCTATCGTAATTAGCAAAATAATATGTAGGTTATTTTTGTTCGCTTCCAAAAAATGTCTAGGTGTAATATTGTAGTCGTGTATGATCTAAAACTACGTAAAAAAATGTGGGTATCCACATCATACTTTAATGTAATAATTTAGTAAAATATATTTATTGTACAAGAATATTTAAATAGCTAAAATATGCACTGTGTATCTATGTAATAATTGTAATATAATACACGGGTGATTTTATGTATTAACATTTATGTATGTAAGAGATAGTAATATTGTCATGTTGGGTTTCAAAATTATTTAGTTTTAATTTTGTGAATTATTAAAATATCGTAATAATCTTAGAAACTTAAATTCGATTATGTACCTAACTTAATTTAAGAAGATAAAATAATTTTAAAATGTTAAAAAAAAAAATGTAATTAACTTATTATAAATGCTTACTTTATTGCACAGTTTATAATGTAATATACAGTGCATTCTTTTTATTATTTGGTGTTTATATATTAAAAAAAAAACTAATGGCCTGAAAGAAATATCTGTTAGCAATATACATATACGTTTATACATTATTATCAAGGGTATGTTTTTGTTAAAACGTATAGTGTCTGTCTGCGGGGTCGAGCATAATGAATCGTGAAGCCGAGAGCGGAGCTATGAGACCTTTGGCCCGGGCTCTGACCAAATCGCTGGAAAGAGTTCGAGGCCTTCTGAGAGACGCGAGCCTTTGCGGTGACCAAACTCCGCCGTGCCTGCGTAACCTAATATCATCGCTGTGCACGTTTGATCATTTGTTGGCTGAATTTGAATTGCGTTACGTGTCGGCGATGGTACCCGTTAAGACCGCTCACGAATATGAACTCCAGCAGCTCGTAGTCGTCTTGTTCTCTGAGACTCTACAAAGGTAAGTGCGTTATGCGATAAAAAGAATAAAAATAATACAATCTTACGATTTTTTTTTTTATTTATCTTGTGTATCTTACAAATTACGATAATACTTCTAGATATTTTATACATATATATCAAAACAATTTTATCATGTTTTAATTTTTATTATAATATTTGTGTTTTTTAGAGCACTCGTCAAAGGTCTCCTAACCCAAGAGATGGTTGACGACTACGACCCTGCCCTTATGTTCACCATTCCACGTCTGGCCATCGTGTCTGGTCTGTTATTTTATCCCTACATGTCGCCGCTGTCTCTCGATCAAAACGCCACCGATATGTCCGATATGTTCCGTCCATTTCGAGTGAGTGTTTAGTGTTTACATTGTGCATATTCTATATACTCGTATATCGTAGATGTTTAATATAATATAGTAATATTAGGTACACCGACAAAAATCAGTTTTTACTGTATGACGTAATACAAAATTAAATACCTTTAACGGCGTAAAAGTTAGAAAAAGTAACTCGGTGTTTTTTTTGTAATATAATACCCACGATATGCATGTAAAGAAGTGACAAAACTTTATAGGATTTGTTGATAGGAAATATTATGTGATGTGTAAATTAATGCGTTACTTGTTACCTAGTCGTTATTGATGAAAATCAGAGAGCTCCTTCTCACCCTGTCTAATAAGGAGTTATTAACGCTGGAGAGGATGTTGTGTTCCTCCGATGAGGTCAAGTTCGATGAGAAGTTGTCGGTCAAAAACCAACAGTTGTCGTGAGTATATTATCTTTTGACTACTCTTTAATATTATAACTTGGAATGCGATAACATTTTGTATATCTTTTTTTCATTTCTTCAGGTGTCAGGAAACCAGCGACGAGGACTCAGAGTGTCTTTCTTCCAGCACTGCGGAATTGGTGATGGACAATAACGTTACCACTACTCCTATCACTGCCACCCCTGTGACGACTATAGAACAATGTGGTACGAAAGGATTTCCCCCAACGCCTCCGTCATCTCCGCAAGACTTGATCAACAACAACAGCAATCATTGCAACTCATCGACTAAACGTGGATCGTTCGGATCAACAATTATATCGACGAACAATGCTGTTGATCTACAGTCAGATAACGAATCAAAAAATCCGGCGAACAATCGGCAGCAACTGCAACAATACGATTGCAGTGGTCTGGAGTCATCGTCAGGTTCTATGCCGGACGCAGACCTAACTGAGTCGCTGGCCACAGCTACGGAAGCTCTGACCGAGATCTTGGTGAAGTCTACAAACATGGAACGTGAGATCAGCCGAAATAATGGTGGCGGTGCGGCTGTAGTTGTGGTAGTAGTTCAAGACGATAACGGAAATGAAAATGTACCGTCACCTCAACTGAATCCTGCAAAACAACACCATACCGTCCCAAATGTCTCGAGTAGTTCAACACAAACAGAATGTCCACCGTCCAGTTCATATCGAGTGTGTTGCTGCAATAACTGGAACCGATGGAAGTCGACTACAGTAGATAATAAGAAAGATCGGCCGCCCTCTGTTAGGTGTCGGTCTCCGTCTGGTGGTAGAAGTAGTGGTGGTGGTGGTCGTTGTTGTCATCACTATCACAGGAGAAAAAAGACAAGCACCACTGCCACTGTTTCTAACCACTGTGGAGGTAATGAGAGTTGCAGCAGCAGCAGTAGTAGTGAAACAAAAGCCCGGGATAAAGTTCATGTTGTAACTACTGTCTCAACCAAGTACTCAAAGAGCTGGCGGGAACTTCGCAAGTCAACTAGTGCTGATGGAAAACAATCGGCAGAAGTAGTGATTTGTCGACTGCAAACCACAGGCTGTTGCAATGCAGCCAAATGTGGTGTAAAACCGACGTAAGTTTTTGAAGTATTCTTTATTTGACAGAAAAATACTGACTAGTATAATAACTATCAATTAACTTTTATACAAAATTAATAAAATTTAATTTATAAATATATGCTATGATTATTGTTAGTTATATTAAAATCATTAACTATGCTTATAGTTTATTAATATTGATTAAAACAAAAGTAATTACATAGTTAATTAATCACATTTCTCAGCTATTTCTGTTACACTATATCATATAGGTACTATATGTGCAGAGGTCATACAAAATCTTGTGACTGTTTATAATGTATGGAGTCATTAATTTTACTGTGATTGCCCTAATTGTATTATTAAATTATAGTTTTTGGAATGTTAAAGTGATTTGCTTACAATAGTATGCGTTAGTTAGATAGAGACAAATACATGCAATTCATTAATAACATTCTCTTAATACATCAAGTATAATAACTCTGAAACTACTTGTTTGAATCTTAATTTCGATTCATTTAAACTTTCAAAAAAACTAGTAAAATTTGTATCTTTGTTTATATATTATAAAGAAATCATTAGTTTATATTGTACAGTCCATAAATGCCATAAAAAAATATAAGTATTTTAAAATAATATGGTCTTACAGCAGTGTACTTAAATAAGTATCAAAAAACCAGAATTTGAAAAAAATATATGATTTAACTATAAAAGTATTGTAAGCAAAGTTTAGAATTCACTATATATATTGTTCAAATTGGTATTTTATAAGTAGTCAGCAATTGTATACCTTATGATGTGTATAGTATATTTTTAACACTGTAAAGTTTGAATATTTCAAATAAGTTCCTGAATATTATATAAAATAATATAGCTTATTTATTTAAAAAACACTATTTATTTTTTTGGCAGTTAATTTATCATACCAATTTTTTTCTAAATATTTTTAACTGATATAAAAGTAATTAATATATATGTAAACTATTAAAAATTATTATTTATTATTTCTGACAGGTGAATTGTGACAGCATCATTTTCATTATACAGTTTTAGTTTTATAGATACATTGAAAAATACCTTTTTTTCCAATGTTAATAATGATAAACTATTTGACATAATGACCAATTTATAACAATTTATAATGTTATATTTGTATTTTTTTTTTTTTTTATGATATATTATAAATTAATTTAATATATATGGCTTTGATGTGTTATGATGATTTTTATTATTATTTTTTAATATTATAAAGTTTTTATTTGGTAGATAATTTATGTTTATTAATATAATTTCAGAGTATTTAATTTTACTATTAAATGCAAATGCTATTGGAATTCACACCAAAGACATAGTTGTGATAATAATTATATCATTACATTCTTTAGGATTAAGAAACATGGGATGTGTTCTAGCTGTTCTAGTTGTACAACTTCATCAGCAGATGAGAGCGACGAGAGTTTAACTGATAGTACATCAACAGACAGTTCCTGTAATTATTCGTTACGTCGACAAAAAGCTCGTGCTAAGTTCAGGTGAGAAATAACTGCATGTTTAATCTTTGCACATAATATAGTTTTTTGTTTTTTTAGATCTGATGAAGACTTGTTGCATCGGCTGTTTGTATGTATATCTGGAGTGGCCGACCAACTGCAGACAAATTTTGCTGGAGACTTACGTAATATACTTAAAGCAGTGTTTCTCATGTCTAATTCTAATTGTGGCAACGATAGTCAACAGAATCCTGGTTTGTTTAAAAACATGCCATTGTATAATATAGATTTATTTTTTAATCAATTGATGTTTCAGAAGTTATTCCTGTGATGAACAACCCTGTTGCATTGATTGATATTGAAAATGGTGAAGAGGCACTTGTGTGGAGGGGTGAAACTATAATTAATGATGTCTTATCCACATCAGCAGAAACGCCACCTACTTGGGTACCTGATAATGAGGCTCCTGTATGCATGTCCTGCAAAGCTATATTCACCGTGGTCAGAAGACGTCACCATTGTCGAAATTGTGGCAAAGTATTTACATAACTTCTTTTGAATATTAACAGTGAAAAGTTCTTTTATTTTTCAATTGATTTTTCATTGCAGGTATTCTGTTCTCGGTGCAGTTCCAACTCTGTCCCTTTGCCCAGATTTGGGCATTTGAAGCCAGTGCGTGTGTGCAATCGTTGTTTTATTTACCAGGTTACGCCGTTCACATTAGAGCATTCAATTGGACCAGTTCCAATTGTCTTGCAGTCTTAATTAATTATAAAGCGGTTCTCCCCTGCCCTCGCCTAAAATCTTCTTCTCCTAAACATTCCAAAGAGATAAAGAAACATCTTTATTTTTTGTGTTACCATTTTATCCTAATTGACTGTTTCTTCTTTTATAATCTTTTGCTTTATATACTTTTTTCCCCTCGATGAATTTTCTGTTCCTAACAGTAATAATATTAATTAGTTGTATGCAAATATATCGTTGTCTTTAAACCATTCAACAATTGTTTAACTTTAATGCATGCATTTGTTATATTTTCTCTTATTAAATTAATTTAATGATACTATTAATACATCTAAGAATCATAACATTGATACTGATTACTGTTATTGGCGGTGTTTATTATGTGTTGTTAGTCAAAACAATTTTATGAATATATAAATTTTTTTTTTTTTATACGAAGATAGCTGCTCAATAATGTTTTATGCCTATATTTAGTCCAGTTATCTTAAATTTTTATTATATTTAACTTCTGAAAATCATTAAGTTGTTGTAATCTTATGATTATTAATATATACTATCATATTAATTGATAAATTATAATTAAATACAATTTTTATTATTATTATTTTTTTAATTAGTTTATAAAAAACAAATTTAGTTAAGTTTCTTATATCTAATATTATTTAAATAATATGTTGTAAACATACCAAGAAACTTTGTTCGCTCGATTTATTAATATTGGATTAATGATCAAAAATGGCTGTGGATTTTATTCTTTATGATCATTGTTCTATAATTTCAATACACTATTGTAAGTTATAAAATGTATTAAACATTTTCAGTTTTATTTTTAAATTTTAAATTTTTAGTACAATGATGACATAAAACTGATTGAGAATAATAAGAATGGATACATGTAATTATATACTATTCAAGATTTTGTTAAAAAATTATATGAAACGCATGGTCTAATTTATATATTATAAAAAAAAATTATAATACCAATTATCGTGATTCATTAAAACATTCTTATATTCTTCAACTTAATCTCTGTGATAGTTTTAAATAAAAATATGATTATTGATTTTCTGTTCATAATTATTTATTCATTTATTCTATCTTACAACAGTAGTGTATTGCAATAATTGCCGTACTTCTAAAATATAATTGAAATATGTGAAAATAATTATGTCAACAAAATTGTGTTCATTCTTAAATATTGTTGCCAATTCATATATAAAATTGATCTGCTTGAAACTAAATTTAAAAAAAATCATTAAAGGTATTATTCTAATTAGAAACTTTTCTGTAGCCAAATTTTGAAAATAATTTGTTAAATATGTTCCAATGTTTGTACTAATGACAAATTTTCTAAAATATAGAAATTGGTTTTTCGAATGGTTACTTATCAGTATGTATTTTTTGAGCATATGGAATTTTGTGTTAAAGTGTAATACGTTAAGCACGTTTTTAAAGTATTTTGTACGTGCAATACATTTTTATTTTTAGTTAACGATTATATAAGATAACTGTTTGAAATATGCATTTAGTGTTACATCGCCAATTAATTTTGGTTGAAATCACTGTTCTTGTATAGTTTGTATGCGAATATGTCAAAACAATTGTGTGTTGTAAGTTGAAAATTGTCTATTGTATTTTTTTTCTTACTATAACAATTAAAATTATTGCCAGTCATTTTTTTAATTTATCGCACTGTTTGATAATATCTTTGATCCTTATTCCTGAATTTATAATCAGTATGCTGGTGCAGTATGTACAGCAGCTCACATTTTTTTTTTATCAGAGTTATTTTAATTACTGTCAAAAATATTAATATTTTTTTCCAATATTATTTACTAAATATAGTAGGTACATATTCAGACCACAGATAAATATTTTTGTATCAATTACTGTGATAATATTTTTACAGAAAAGAAAAATCGGTAGAATTTGTTTTTTAGTATAGTTTGAAGTATACTTAATCATTAAAAAAGTAATTCACTGTAATGAACATGTAAAATTTTATTTCAGTGATAAATCAGACAAAAATATTCAGAGCAGAGCAACTTCTTTCACTTAGTATATTTTATTATAAATATATGTTATATAATGATTTAGTGAGTTACATTTCTAATAGGTTTAAGTAATAAATAACGATAATGAATTAATTTTCACAGAGAATGCCACATTTATTTTATTATCAATTAGGCATTAAATAATGTTTTATAATACCTAGGTATATATTATATCATAATGACATAATAGACTTTTATGTTTTCTATTCAAATTTAAAGTCAATACTTACTTTAAAACGGTGTGAATAAGGTCGTGTTATAAATAGGCAACGGCTTAAAATTAATCTAAAAATTTTAAAATTATTGTTTATAGAAATATAATATAACAATATTACATATAAAAGTTTTAAGTGTCTGGTAACACTATTAAATTACAACCATTTAACTAAATTTGTTATTTATTGTTGAATATCTAATAACATTTTAACATATTTACTTTAAATATTTATCAAGCAAATTTTATATATATTTTCAAATTACTTTAATAACTTGTATTACATTTTCAAGCTTTATTTTTAATAATTAATCTATGCATACTGAAAATTTTATAATTTTATTTTTAAATTATAATGGTTTTAATGCATTTTTCCAACAAATTGAACTTTATACTCTTAAAAATATTCTTTCCTGTGTATTTTAAATTTTTAATACTTTTAATTAATTATTTGAGCAACTTGTGTGGGATCTTGTATTACATTTTCAAGCGTTTTGACCTGTCCTAAATATTTTCATCAACAATTATAAAAATGAAAATCAACAATTGCAATTGCTTATAAACACCTTAAAATTATTAATTTGAATATTTTTAAAATTTCATAATGCATAGAAGATAGTAATTTAAGTCGTAAGTTTCTAAAATTAATATTTTTTGGAAAAAATAAAGTAACCAAAATCTATAGATAAATATTTATTTTAGTTATTATATGTTTGAATATTCAGTGTTATCAAAATTTAAGCATAAAAAATTATGTAATGTATTTAAGTTAACTTAACAATTAATTGTTGTTTTTTTATTAATTTTTAGTTATTAAAATGAACAATTTCACCCTTTTTTTATCTACAAAATAATTAGCAAATCTGCGTGATTTCAATGAATTTCATAAAAATTTAAACGCATAGGTGCCATGTATTATTTTAGGTGTTTTTCTTATTTCTGTAATTAAAACTTGTGTATGAGAAATATTTTATAAGATGTTTAAGCTTCTTAAGCAAAAAAAAAAAAATTGAATAATAAGTATGCTTAAATCGAAAAAATTTAGATTTAGAATTTCATAACAATATAAATAGCATAAAAGAGTTAACATATTTTGATAATTATATCGTATTGTAAAATAAATGTTAATTTTATAACTCACTTAAAAATTAAAAAACTAAAATAACATTTCAAACAAAACCATAAAAGTATAGAATATATTATTACTATTGACATAAAAATACATTTAAGTATAATTGTCTACGATTGTTCCCAATAATTATTTTAATAATAGGTAAAAAAAAATCCAGCACAGAGTTCTAATTTATTATTAGGATGTTTTTAACCAAAATTAGTTCAACATCCTTATTAATAGAAAGATAAATAAAATTACTATTATAGTGGTATGAATACATTTTAAGATACCCTTAGAAAACATTCTCATACAGTTTTCGCTCAAAATCGTCTTTCACAGGGTATGTATCGATTTATTATCGAATTAAAATTTAATACATTTATTATTTATATATCAATTAGATATAGTAATCATACTATATAGATGACGAGAGTGGGCACCTACTACACATTAGACTGATTTTGTCGATTTTTATTTTTTTTTCATCAATATCTATCTATGTTTTATAGAACAAGCAAACAACGTAGGATCTTTTTGCTCTAATAATCTTTTAGATTTTTGTACGGTGGGCAACCTTATATTAACCTTATACTTTTATTGCTTTTGTTTCCTTAATATTTCCTAGCGAGATGTTCATCGAATCTTAAAACACTGACTCACTTAGTTCCGGTACTTAACTCGAAATTACATTATTGTATATTGTAAAAAATGCAGGCTTGAACCCGTAAAACCGTTTGAAACATAGGTAGGTACCTATACCTCTTAACAAATGGTCATATAATTATATAATAATAATTTATTCCTTTTAAAATTATGAATTTTTACTTCATATATTCACTAAATTTATATTTCTTTTGTCCCCAGTCCGCCACGCAACAATATAAGATCTATTTACAAACGACCATATTACTCAGCGATTGTAAAATGCGCCCAAAATACCGATAAACCCAAAATCAAAAGCTATTTTTTTGTAAAATTATCTTTAATGTATAATAATTTATTACAACCATATAATATGAATAATTAAAATATAAATAAAATTAAGAATTAAAAAAAATATATATAATTTTAAAAAGTAAAATAATTACAAATAATATCATACTGTAGTTACATATAATCATAATTTGGAGTTTGACCACTATTATATTTTTTATTAATTAAATTTTGTAATTTTTCGTGTTTTTTTTTGTTTTAGAATGCGATATAATTGAAAAAGTACACAATCATAGAGACACTTTAATAAGGCAAAAGTTTTGTATATTTTACAAACGGGGCACAGCTTAAGTTGTCGGGCGCAGTTTACATTACACCTTTTTAACGGTGCATTCGAATTGCGTCCACGAATTATATTTTTTCCTAGTTGCGTCTGTGGTTTTGTCATGGCTCATGACACATCCGAGTTGCGTCCGCGGTTTTCTTGCGACATGTTGCGTCCACGAGGTTTTTCAGCCACTAACAATAATGTTTGGTGATAAACTCGTAGATAATTTCGATTATCGCTATCTTATCTGTAAATACTACCTTGTAATTTATTTGTTCACGTTAACATCAGTCACACTTTGACATTCCATATCAAATCATTATATTTTTATTTATATTTATTTAATTTTGCAATGGAAAATCTTGAAATAGTGAAAATGTTCAGTGAAAAAATAAACTATTATATTGCCATTTATACACCAATTATAAAAATGACAGTCCTCAGTCTGTAAAATTGGGAAGGAAAATATGTATATTATTAGCCAATTAATCAATTATTAACCGGGACGCAACTCGTGCATATAACGAGAAAATCGCGGACGCAACTCGGATGTGTTGTGGACAAACCACGGACGCAACTCGGATATAGTGATTTATATTTTCGTATTTTGGGACGCAATTCGTATGCAGCCCTTTTTAACATAGATAAAATTTTAGTCACAGTTCATAAAAAAAAGGTCATTGGGGCATTTGGGCGTATGTCCATATGACCTATTTTAAAATACATTAAATAGGAAATCGGTACTACTTTATAAAGGTAGCTGC